TATATGCATAATGCATGGCTGTGAATAACAGGATGGATTCATGACATCATTAGGAATGTGTATATATATGCATAATGCATGGCTGTGAATAACAGAATGGATTCATTACCATTTGCAAGTACATTGAACAAGTAGAGACGATTCCCAGCTGCAGTGGCTGTGATGAGACAGTGTGGTGGTTCTAACTCGAATTGGTAATACTTTCTTCCCGAATATTCCTTAACTTTGCTATTCATCACTTTCCCTTCTACGTTCTCTCCGATTACCTCTGGCCCAAATGCGTTGATCACTTTCTCTGGAGGTCCGATTCTTTCTATCCGGGCATCATCCTCTAGATCTATATATGCATTACAAAATGTAACACATGCAATCTTTAGTTGGAGATGAAGAAATCTTGAAACTTTTTGCTTCATTAATGAATGTTAACTCACAGTCTGCGAATCTGAGAACAGGTGCAACGATGACAAAGAGCCGGCCTTCGCTTGGACTACCAAATCTGAGATCAATCTCAGTTCCACCAAGATCAGCTATGGATACTGGTGACTGAAATTAAGAGATGATATCACATCATGAAACTGCAACAGCCAACAGTTCATATGGAGATCCCCCACAAGATTATCTTGTCTTTTTTAAAGATTTCTTGTACAAGATAATTGGAGTAAGAGATATGTATTACCTCTTCCCAACCATCAGGAACCGAAAAGGCATAGGGGATGATGGGACTCCACCCAACTCCATGTCCTCCAGACTTCTCATCTGGTCTGCGGTAAGTCCTCCAACCTGTCTGAGCATGTTTTAACCACGTGAAAGATGACTAACAACAAACCACAGGCCGCCCCCCACACACAAACACACACACACACATATATATATATATATATATGTATATGTTTTACAAGTTTGTTTCTCATTGTGGAAGCAGGATTGAAACCCACAACAACAAACCAGTTCTATCATTCAAATTAAGCATTTCTAGTTTCTGTTTAAATCATCCAGTTTCCCTCAACATGTTCTCCTCATTTCCTAATATCTGTAACACAAATTCATGAAATTTTCTATACATTTATAATACTATAAATTGTCATAAAACAGTCCAAATTATTATTAACAATACACCCTTGTTCTAAGAATCAAATAGAAAAGAACCAACCTTGTTCATTAGGTTCAGACAGTCCTGGAATCCTTCCAGCTAAAAGTCCTTGTTTCACTACAGCCACTCCCTCCCTTGGGATTCCCATCATTAAGCCTGAGGAAACCAATGAAACCCCAGAAACCATTGCTGTTCTTCTTCCCAAAACCACCCCATTTTCATTTTCTTCATGAATCTTTGTCGCAGAAACTCTTTCAGGTGAAGAAGATGAGCAACCAGCTGCAACAAGACTGTGTCTTTGGTTGCTGTTTTTTAAAGAAAACCCTAAACTTTTAAATCCAACTGTGCTCATCTTGTTTCTGTTAAGACCTTCAAGTTAAGATGAACTGAGTGAGGTAGTGATGTGAGAGAAGATTAGAGGGTGTGTTTCCATTTTGAGTTCAAGTGAATGTAGACTGATAAATGTACAAAGTTTTATGCATGATGTACAAATCCTTTGTAAATTTGCATGGTTGAAATTCACTTATCTGAAAATGATCAAAATCTGGCTTGGAATTGGCCACGTGTTCAGCTCAGGTTGCCAAAAGTGGACATACAAGATTAATCCTAGAATCCATTATTTTTCACTTTCTCTGACAATTCTATTTGAAATCTCGTGCAATAAAATCGAGTTTATAGAACATTCTTAAATTCTAAATGTTTTAATAGACTTTTTTTATAGGACTTGGTTTATAAGACCAAAAAAATAAAGTATTCTATCTAATGGTGTTGTGTCAAGTTTATATGACTTTTTTGATGTTGTAATAAGTTTTTTAGAACACTTTTAATATAAAGCGTCCCATTATCAACTTTATAGGACACTATTTAAAAAAAATCTAATAAAAACAAGTGTCCTATAAAAAATTGAGTTTATAGGACAATTTCTTAAAAGTGTACTATAAAGTTGTCAATGCGATACTTTTTATTAAAAATGTCTTTACAAACTTGTTAAGACGCCCAAAAGCATATATAAACTTATTACAACGCCTTTAGATATGACGTTTTATATTTTGGTCCTATAAATTAAGTCATGTAACGGTATATTGGGACACTTAGAGATTGAGAGTGTCCTATAAACCCAAATTTGTTGTAGTGACTATAATAAAACTGGATTTGTAAAGCATTATAATCTCTAACGTCTTAATAAACCATTTTATAGAACTTAATTTATATGACTAAAAATTAAAACGTCATGTTTAAAGTCGTTGTAATAAATTTATAGAACGCTTTTAGACGTCTTAACAAGACTTTTAGGACGTTTTTAATGCAATGCGTTGCATTAGCAATTAATAGGACCTATAAACCCATTTTTTTATATGACATTTGTTTTTATGATACACTTTCAAATAATGTCATATAAAACTGCTAATGGGTTAAGAGTATCTTAAAAAACTTGTTAAGACGCTCAAAAGTATCTTATAAACTTATTACAACGTTTTTAGAAAGAACACTTCCTTTTTTGGTCCTATAAAATGACCTATTAAGACACTTAATTTTTTTTGATGTCTTATAAACCCGATTTTAATATCGTGTTTGATTTTTCGCAACACGGTGTCTCAAAAAATGGAGTTATATAAAATGAAATCTTTATAAAAATATAATACAAAATAAACTTTGAACTGAAGTGAAAAGAAAACAAGATGAACAATACAAACTAATACTAGTGGTTCTGCCCTCATAAGGATGGTGTCTACATCTGAATGGGAGATCTGAAACGAAAAACCAGGATAACAAACATAAATCATCAATTGCGATTCAGATTCCAAACTCTCCAAATTATCAAACTTAATCCTCATACATGTTTCTCTCTAGTTTTTATGATTATGAAGTGGTAAATAAGGGTTGTATTTCTATAATGTGATTCAGATTCGGCCAACACTAATTAAGAACGTGAAAAAGAGCATCTTAGGTCGCATTACTTTCTATCAGTAACTAATGTATCTTAGGTCCACATTTAGATCAATCATAATTGAATATCAATACTAATAAGATGCACTGAATCAATTACTGTGAGAAATCCAATTCATGGAGTGGAGACGAGATTAAAAGTGATGAAGGGTTCAAATCATTTCTTACGCTTCTCATCTTAACTCTTATTCTTACACGATCCCTCGTCTTGTTCTGTATACTTAACTTTGATAGTATTTATCATAAATATTCGTCTTTTTTAATTATTTATTTTATTACAGTTAATCTAAATCATGTATATAAGCAACCACTGAATAACAGTATTATTAAAAGTAAAATTGACATCTAGCGACAAGAAAACATATTATCTTATAGATTATAAAATTAACAATCAAGATATTTAGAAAGAAAAAAAAAAAGCAATTACAATTTTTAGTGACGACATGAATATCTCATAATGACTAAGAAAGTCTTTTCTACTGTTTCATTTTTAAAAACTGTATCAAAATGAAACTAATTTTGTCTTTATTCATATTTTGTGTAACTAAGGGGTCATTTATCCAAACACTTGCCATACAGGTGTAATTCAACATCGTCACTTACTTTATCTGATATTATTTATTCCATTATAACAGCATCGTATGCCAGCATTAACAGGATAGAAGTCGTCGCTCTCAATTAACAGGTAAAACTGTAGGTCATTTCTTTCGCTCTTACTGGATAAGATTCTTAATCTTTGACATGTGACTTAACAAGCATTTACCTATATAAGCATTTGATGAAGAACTCCGAACTTTCAAAAGGTTCATTTTTAAAACAAGATTCATGTTTTTCAAAATAAGAAGAAAAAAAAAATCAAAATGGTTCCGATTTGACTCATCTTAAAAATTACATTTTATTCATTACCTAACCCACCCATTAGCGAATGATCGTGTGAGAGAAGTTATGGTAAAATTTATAAGAAAAATCTAAACCTTTGATCGTTTCTAATTTCATGCACATCCATGAATTGTGCTTTAGAAAAGAATTGATCCAGTACATCTTGGTGTCACCTTACCAGTGTTGACATTCAATTACGATTGATGGTGTAGATCTTTTCTTACGTGTGATAACTTGATCCTGGTTATCACCCAAAGTAAATAATATGTGATTATCTGATTTAAATGATTACGTGATAGCATGATAAATTGTTACGTTTGATCATGCTGGGATGTGAAAATGTGCACAATATGAAATGCATATGTTATATATTTATATGTATGCATGGTATATATATATATATATATATATATATATATACATACATACATGGTGTATGTATGCATGCATGAGAGTTTTGTGAGAAAAAGGGGCTGTGTTAGCCGCCTTTCCTGTTTTATAAAGTATAAAAGGGAGGCTGAGCCTCCATATTTTCTCTTCTTGTTTTTGAGTTCCTTGTTGTGCGATTTAAAAGAGAAGAGAAGTTGACCGGATTATTTCTTGTCTGGAGATTCAAGTTGATTTCAAGTGTTTGATTTCAAAAGTTTGTTAAGGTGACTAATTTCTAAACTCTTTTGCATAAAACTTTTACTGTTTTTATATGAATCATGTTTATTATTTGAATGAAATCAAAGAATTTTGCTTAAGGATTTT